GGTGGGAGAAGGATTCCGACACAGGCAAAGGACCGACAATATCAAGGAAGCAACAGTCGAGGATCTTCATAGGCCTTGAAGTACTTCTCAATGGGGGACCGATGGGGTTAACGTTGCCCCGAGGGCCGGCTGAGAACTGGCATACGCATCTTGACACCACGTGTTGAACAAGCGAGAGACACCAGGAATGTAGAAAGCCTTTACTACACTGTCATGGGTTTGCTCGAGCGGACAATGACCGAGGAAGATGTAGATATCTTCGATAACCGAATGGGCAAACCGTTGAGATAGAAAGTAACGATGACCATATCGCAACAATCCGTCGTTGTCAGTGGTGAACTGTGAGCGGGGAAGACTGGCGAGTCTCTGACAAGTAGGGTCCTTGGTCTGGACGTCTCGGAGCCAAGTGCGCGCAGCAGCGGGGTCGACTGGGATGGTTGCCACTTTTTGAAAGGTCGTGCGACCACGCCAAGCATCGAAAGAACGCCTGAGCAATTGAACCGGGACGATGTGCGTGAGCGCCTGTTCTGGGCCGAATGAAGGTTGCTCATTATCGTTCGGAGCGGTGTCTTCCGTGGCGTCGACAACGTGGCAGTTAGCCTTATCAGCAGAGTCAATGAGCTCATCGTAGACCTCGTCCTCGACAGCAGGGAGCCTAGCTCTCAGCCTCTTCCGTTTGGGGTCTATGTCATCAGGAATGACTTCGACCAGCGGGTTAGAGCGGCTTTAGAGCGGGCACAGAGTGGGGTTGATGTGGCGGGCGCCGGGCTATTGTTGGCGGAGGCTATGTTGCAAACGATGTCCACGCCTTTGTCCGAGACCAGCCGAATGCCCAAAAGTGAGAACATGTTACGGCCTATAAGAGAATGTGGACGACACCCATCAACGACCAGAAATGAGATGGTGACAGTGCCAGCGGATCCAAGGAAACAAGGGACCTTGGCGACAGAGCCAGCCGAGAGAGCCTGATTATTACCGAAGGTAACGGACACAGGCGGTGATAGAGCCTTGACATCGGCAGGCCTTATGGTGTCGTTAGCAAGAAGAAAGTGAACGATAGAGCTGTTCAGAATGGAGGCGTTCGCACCGCTATCCACGAGTCCCTGGATAGGACAATAAGTCTTTGGAGCATCATGACCAGCGACAAGGTTCACCACCGGATCAGCAGGGGGTGAGCCGACGATATCATGAAGTGCTGCACGAGATGAAGCACAGGCGACACTACTGTGGATGATCTTTAGCTCAGAGCCGTCAGAGATCTCCGTTGCAACAGTGGACATATTGGCTTGAGTAGCGGATGTCATACTGTCATTGTTGATAACCTTTCGGCAAACACCACTCGAATGACCAT